TACATTTAAAACAACTGGTAAACAATATCAGAGATCATTAACTGTTACAATAAAATGTGAGCAAGTTGCATCAAATGTATTACTGTGCATGATAAAGCATATCAGTCCACTGGACAGGCAGTCAAAAAGCTCAAATTCAATTTTCTTTTCTGTAGATAAACTGTACGAATGTGGGTAAATCATTTAACCTCCCTTCTCTCATCTATAAAATAATAATCCTGTCCAATTTGTGTTTGTGTGTGTGTGTGTGTGTGTGTATGCATGCTCAGTCACTAGGTCATGTCCGACTCTTTGTGATCCCTTGGACTGTAGCCTGTCAGGCTCCTCTATCCACGGAATTTTCCAGGCAAGAATACTGGAGTGGATTGCCATTTCTTCCTCCAGGGGATCTTCCCGAACCAGGGATCAAACCCCCATCACCTGCGGCTCCTGCATTCACAGGCAGATTCTTTACTACCGAGCCAACTGGGAAGTCCCTCTGTCCAATTTACTAAGGAGCAAAACAGAAAAAAAAAATATTCATGAGTTAGGGAACATGATCCTTTGTATCATGAATGCTCTATTTTCAACAGAATGCTCTATTTTGAAACCTATTGCTTCAGTTTGGCTTTACTTGCATTGTTTATTATTCCTTCTACATGCAATCTGAATTTTTGTTGTCAGTGATGGTTCATCTAACAGTCCTTCATTCCACCTGCCTGCAGTACCCAAAAAACTGCCTGTTTGTGATCATGTTGGAAAAGCACAATAGACCTCTGCTCCTCCAGAGCAAGGAATGAGATCAATGCTTTTCATTTTGGACTTAGGCCCCTTTCAGTAGCCAGTTGTCACCACTGCTGTCGACCTGCCACCTGCTTGAGTTCAGGGTAGAGGCAAGAAATTCAAATGTTTCAGCAGGACTTGTTAGGCCAGCTGCTGATGACCAACTTGGAGATTGTATTTCATGAGCATGATTTCATGTTCTAGTAGGTATACTAAATATCTTTTCATATCTAAAGAGATGGCAAAGAAAAGTTACAAAGAGGAACATTTAACATTTTTCTAAATGAACATAATGTAATAATAATCAATGCAAAATTGGGCAAGTTCACCCTGACTAGCTAAGCTTCTTCCCTGCCAGCTGTAAATGTTGCACCCGGCTGCATTCTTTTCATGGGGAAACAGTTCAAGTTTCTTACATTTTTATCAGAGTCATTTTAAAACCATTTCCAAAATGTTTTACTCGGTTCTGTTTTAAAGTTTTTTTGCATCTGTAATATATTTCTTAGATATTTCCCCCAATTAAACCATTTAAAAAAGAAATGAATGAAAAGTTCTTTCTGGCTTACTTCAGCTTTTCCAAAAGTTTGACTCCATTTCAGATGGCCCCTTCGATCTCTATGAGCTGTACTTATGAAGGGTCTTTTGTCTGATAATATTTCTGTATTCCAAACTGGTTACAATGTTATTAGCCCAAGAACAGAGACTTGGGAAAGAAAATTAAGTATCTCACTGTTCTGGGTTTTTAAGTAAGCCAAAGAGGAAGGATTTTTCCACAAATGCTATAAATCAGTGACTCCTAGACTTTAAAGTGCATAAGATTCACCTTAGGACCTTGTTAAAATGCAGATTATGACTCAGGAGTTCTGGAAGGGCCTAAGAGTCTGCATTTCTAACAAGTTCACAGATGATGCTGATGCTGCTGGTCCAAAATTTTAAAGCTTACATCAACTCTCAGCTTCTACCTATATCTCAGTAGATCTTGCAGAGAGAACCAGTTGAACCAGTTTTACACAATTCTTTACAAAGGTAAGGAGATTTACTTTAAAATGACTTTTTAAATTCAATTAAAATGAAGTGGGGTAAACACCAAGTAGAAAGATGTCCTGGTAAGCATGGGTCAAAGATAGATAAGATTCAATTAAAGAAAGAAAACAAATCTATTCTGTAACAGCATACAGAAGTGGAGTAAATAAAATACTCATAGACATTTTGCAAAGACCTATTACATTTTGGTTGGTACAACCTCTATGTGAAATCTTCTCTCTAGGATACTAATATCCTCTGCTCTAAATGTCTTGTTGAATTTAGTTGCTTGCTCGAGTGTAAACAAAAACAGACAATGGGGTCCTTAATCTCTTTAATCCAAGAAGCTGTCTGACCTGTCTCCTGATTTAGGAATCTCTTTCAGCAAAATTCTCAGGTTGCTAAAGATGAGAGTACTTAGTCTTTCCAAGTTGTTACATCCACACTGAAAGAAGAGATACACTTTTCTCTAATTTCATGACATACTCATGCCTTTAGATGCCCATTTTCACAGCATTACTAACCATGAGTAATTTTATAGGTAGATTTAAATTTGTTATGGAAGTGCATTCCACAAACAATGGAATAAACTCTTGAAGTCTATTAACCCCAAAGAAAGGAGAGCCACATTTAAAAAATAAATAAATAAAAAGACAGAAGGAACACAATAAAGAATTGATAAAAAATGAAGTTGATGGTTGTGTTACCAGAGCTGCTCCAGGGCTTTGCTCAAAACCCATCACAACCACCACCACCACCCCACCATTTAACAGGAGTGTTCTGAAAACCTACCAAGCCCTGCAACCTTTAGCAGGAGTTAACACATATCTTTCGGAGAAGGAAATGGCAGCCCACTCCAGTACTCCTGCCTGGGAAATCCCATGGACCGAGAAGCCTGGTGGGCTGCAATCCATGGGGTCGCTGAGAGTCGGACACGACTGAGCGACTTCACTTTCACTTTTCACTTTCACACATTGGAGAAGGAAATGGCAACCCACTCCAGGGTTCTTGCTTGGAGAATCCCAGGGACGGGGGAGCCTGGTGGACTGCCGTCTATGGGGTCGCACAGAGTCGGACACGACTAAAGCGACTTAGCAGCAGCAGCAGCAACATAAAGCTTTAACTTAAAATGTTCAGAGATAAGAAAATAAGCTATAAACAGACAAAAGACCAAATGGAACCGGTTGGGACCAAAACAGCGATGAATCAGATCTCCAACAGACCTTGAATCTCATTATTTGCTGATTTAACTACATTAGCATTTTAAATGACACACCTAACAGGAGCCATGACTAGATATTAAGGACCAAAAGGATAAAAAGGAGATGGCACCCCACTCCCTCAGAAAGAGTCCTGCCCCTTCCCTGGTACTCCCTTCTTTTATCTTTACTATTTAAAATGAAATCCTTTCTGCGAGGTGGGCAAGAAGATGATCTGTGAACTTAGTTCCCCTCCTTCGTTCTTTGGCCACTGAGTAAAGTGCTGTGCCAAATCTCAGCTTCCGTTCATTATTTGCCTACTAGAACCCAAACAGAGGCAAGGTCCGTACAACTTGATTTGGTAACAGTTGTTTTTCTCATTTACCCTTATCTGCTGAGACTGCTCATGCCACCTCTTCTTTACCAAATGACAGGTAGAAAAGGACAATTGAAAGAATCAAACGCTTATTTCCACCTGTGTTTTCTACCTGCCCTATTCTTCCTGCTACTCTTATTATTTCAGAGTTTGTTTGGCATAATTATTCACTCTATGTTATTACTAATTTTAGAGACCCAATGGCTAGTGTAGTGCTGTGATATGTAATGGATGCTCAATAAATATTTGCTAAATGAATGAATTAGTATATTACCCATATGGAGAATCATTATTTAAACCTTTTTGCACCTTTTCCTGACTCACTAAGAGAATGGAAAAATACACATTGACATTTAAACACATATGTACACTGTAAAACTGGAATGAGTAATCTGTTTGGTTTTTATTCAGAATAAGGGATAAAAAAATGCATTTCTTCTTATTAATTTTCTGAATACTAAGACCAGTGAAATGACTTTTCATACTTAGCAGAATTGCTTAAATATTTGCCCCAGGAAATGATTTATGAATCAGAAAGCTTTTCCTGATTTAAAAGTAAAAATCAAATCTCACTTATCTGACTTTGGAGCTCTTGATACTTTGAAACCACCACTATTTGTGGTAGACACTGTGATGTGCAATCCTGATTCCCCTTCAGAGAAGAGTTTGTTGCCTCAGCTGCTTGCAGTGCTGTTGGCAGGCAGCCTTCAGCTGTCAGCCCCTCCGTGGTTGCCTCAGCTGCAAAGAGCCATCTGGCCCAGTATCTCTCCCCTTAACCGATGACCCACATCCAATGAACAGTTAGTGCAAGGGAAAAAGATATGGCCATCCTGACCCAACTTAGAACAACTCTGAAGAGCCATTCTAGTTACAGAGCTCTCTGTAAGGTAGGCCATGGCTATTGTCAGGCCTAACTTGTATCTCAACTTCTCCCTTTTTCCAAGCCTTGCTTCCTTTCCCAAGTACCCCAAGGGTACTCTCTAATAAATATTTTGCAAGTCAAACTTCATCTTAAAGTCTGTTTCCTGGAGAGCTCAACCTATGATAATATTATTTCCATGAGCCCTTTATACATAATACAGAAAATGTAAGTATCCACTGAAGACAAATCACTGCATCATTTTATGGAGTCTACTCTCTGAAGGACACTTGCTCTGTGTCAAAGCTGGTTGACAAAAATCTACATTGCCAAGGTTGTTGTTCATTAATTTGTTTTGATTTAGTCATTATGTTGATGACACAGGTGAGTGGACCAGGAGTCTTACTGACATGGTGATTCCGTTGTAGTGGAAAGAGCCTCGTTTGAGGTTCTTTCCTTGTACTACAGGGTTAGAGTCAGTACTAGTTTCTAAGTTGACCTTGCTCTAATCACCCCATGCTGGCATGATCTACCCCATGCTGACATGAACTAAGCTCTGGAAATTTCTCTTCTTCCCTGAAGAAACTACATAGCACCCAGAAACATGTGATTTTGGAAGACCAACTTTAGACATTTTTTTGGATTGTTCATTCACCCTATCATCAATCCTTCAAGGGCTCTAGTCTGCTTGCTTTGTAATCTTCCCTCCCAAATGTATTTCTGTGTCTGTTTATGTGATGTACTGATCATTTCAGGCAGAGAGGGGCAAAGAGAGATCTCCATGGTGAGAGTTCTTTTGGTTGTCTCCATGGTGATCTCTGCATAGCTAATAAATCTACAATTTAATTTTATTTCTCATCTTGAAATTACCAATGGCTTCAGCTTTGGAATATGTGCCAAAGGTGGAATATATTACCATCTTTGGAGATGGTAATGGACAGGGAAGCCTGGCATGCTACAGTCCATGGGGTCGCAAAGAGTCAGAAACGACAGGACTCATGGTGTAACTTGTAAAGCAAGTAGTGCCAAGCTTCATTAGAGACTCTATCTTTCCATTTCTTTTTTTCCCTTCTTTAGGAACCCAAGGTCCTCATATGTTTTGTACATTGTTTCCTCCCTATTCTTTCATTATAAAAAAATAGACTAAGGTATAAATAAATGATAAAGCAGTGTATTACCTTCATCTAGGGGATTGCTTTTTCAATAGAAACAAGGGAATGAATCTTTAAGGAATTTTAGAAATTGAGAAAATATGTGAATGGGGAAGAGCAAGAAAAGGCTGGAGAATGAAATCTATCCACTGATTACTCTGTACTTCATTTTCCCCATCTGTAAAAGGGGACATTAATATTATCTACCTCTGAGGGTTGTTGCCTTTTCATACTGTTCATGGGGTTCTCAAGGCAAGAATACTGAAGTAGCTTGCCATTCCCTTCTCTAGTGTGATGAACTGACTCATTGGAAAAGACCCTGATGCTGGGAAAGATTGAAGGCAGAAGGAGAAGGGGACAAAAGAGGATGAGATGGTTGGATGGCATCACTGACTCAATGGACATGAGTTTGAGCAAGCTCCGGGAGATGGTAATGGACAGGGAAGCCTTGCATGCTGCAGTCCATGGGGTCACAAAGAGTCAGAAACGACTGAGCAACTGAACTGAACTGAGGGTTGTTGAGGGATTAAATAAGATATGACATTTAAAGTGCTTGGAACATATTTGGCTTGTTCAGTTACTGCTATTTTTATATTAATATTTATCTTTATTCATAAGGACAAATTAGGAAAAGTTCCCTTCTTCATCTTTAACCTGAAGTATTAAATTACCAAAAGTCTGGTCTCCCCCTTTATGGGGAAGCTGTGAAGCCTTTGTATTCAAACAGTGGTCGAGAAGCATCAACCATAGCAGGGAGCTTTTTAGGAACCCAGAATTTCAAGCCCCACTCCAGTTGTGCTAAAGCAAAATCTGCATTTAAACAAGATTCTCTGGTGATTTCTACACATATTAATGTTCGAAGAGCCTCAAAGTAGGTATTGATGTCTCAAATTGGGGCTTTGGAATCAAAGACACTCAGGTTTCAATTTTCTAGATGTGGGACCTTGGGCAATACTTCATATCTCTTAGTCTTAGGTCCCTCATGTGTAAAATGTGGGATAACCACATCTATTTCATAGGGTTGCTGTGAAGATTAAATGTGAAACTATGTATAGTACTTATTGATGTGCGTGCTGGGCAACTACTGAGTGCTTTATCAATTGTGACTATAACTACTCTCAAAACAATCTCCAGGCTTTTGAAACATGGAATTTCAAGCTCCCAGGGGCAAAGAACTTCAGTGTAGGATTGTTCATACACTCATTTGATTTTAAAGATAAAAAGGAATGTTAGGGATCATTTTATTTATTTATTTGGATCATTTTAGATAAATCAAAAGAAAAAATGGTTAGGTCTACTCTGTATTGGAAAGCTTGGTTGGTGGGGAAAGGATTTTCCTTTGTGTCTCTCTGAGTCTTCCACTTCCCTGCTGGGAAGATACATTCAGGTTAGACAAAAAGTTGATCAGCTGGCTATGACTCCTCCACTGGTACAGAGGAGTTCCAGCAGGTTTCCCAGCATTTGAATCTTTTAGACATGATTCTCTCTGCCAGTGAAGATGACCAGCTTGTTTAGGTCTATGAACCTAAAATGTAACGCTCCCAGAAACTCTTTGAAGACTGGAACCAGAAGTTATTGAACTCAGATTGGCAAGCACAGGTTCTACATTCTCAAATGTATTTCATTTGCATCTCTTGATTAAGAGCAGGGGCTCAAGCATCAAATCACTAGGGTTCAAATTTCATCATTTGTAAAATAGGGATTGTTATAGCTCCTCTCTCTAAAGATGTTCAGGAGAATTCAGTGAGATAACCTACGTAAATCTGTTATCACAGTACCTGGCCTAAGAGTGAGCTCTCAATAAATATAAGCTCTTGTTGTTGTTATAGCTATCATACTTGATGCTTCTGCTTTACCTAGAATCCTACATTTGGCATGTCTGAGTTCAGCCTATTTTCTTGAACTGAACACTGACTTGGGGGCAACATACAGCCTCTAACTAGATCTATCATAACAGTTTGGTTAGAAGAATTAGAGTAAAAATCAAGACACACCACTGGAAAGGTGAGACTACTTAGTAGGAGATTTCCACATAATACTCAGTCATCTACGAAGTGCCCTTGGGAGAACAAATTTCAGTATGGTTGAAGTGCTAGCACAGCCAGACTCTAAGAGACTGTCAGCCATTTTCAGGCTTTTAATGAGTTCCCCAAGGAGCAGAACTACCACCCCAGCAAGCCTTTCCCCACACTTAAGTTGTAAATCGTTCAGTTGCTAGTGATCTGGAGGCTAACATACGGATATTCTTTGCTACAGAAAACTGAAACAACAAACTGAAAAATTCTTGATCAACAAGTACTGGCAATGGAGACCCATTTGGAAATAGAATAGAGTGGCTAACACGAAAAGTTGGACTATTTTCATTGGGACTTCTGCAAATAGAATACAGTATTTGGGAGTATACAGGATTTGGGGGACTTCAGTCATCTGAATTGAGGCAAATGACAAGGTTTTGAATGTGCTTCCATAGCCTGACTGAAATATTACTTTGAGTGTAAATATCAAAGGACCTCATCACGAGATCTGTGTTTAAGAAAGAAAGTTCCTTGCAGGATATAAAACTAACACACAGAAATCTGTTGCATTCCTATACACTAACAATAAAAAAACAGAAAGAGAAATTAAGGAAACAATTCACCATTGCAACAAAAAGAATAAAATACTTAGGAATAGATCTACCTAAGGAAACAAAAGACCTATATATAAAAAAACTATAAAACACTGATGAAAGAAATCAAAGAGGACACAAACAGATGGAGAAACATACCGTGTTCATGGATTGGGAGAATCAATATTGTCAAAATGGCTATACTACGCAAAGCAATCTATAGATTCAATGCAATCCCTATCAAGCTGCCAACGGTATTTTTCAGAGAACTAGAACAAATAATTTCATAATTTGTATGGGAATACAAAAAACCTCGAATAGCCAAAGCAATCTTGAGAAAGAATAATGGAACTGGAGGAATCAACCTGCCTGACTTCAGACTATACTACAAAGCTACAGTCATCAAGACAGTATGGTACTAGCACAAAGACAGACATATAGATCAATGGAACAAAATAGAAAGCCCAGAGATAAATCCATGGACCTATGGACACCTAATCTTTGACAAAGGAGGCAAGAATATACAATGGAAAAAAGACAATCTCTTTAACAAGTGGTGCTGGGAAAACTGGTCAACCACTTGGAAAAGAATGAAACTGGAACACTTTCTAACACCATACACAAAAATAAACTCAAAATGGATTAAAGATCTAAATGTAAGACCAGAAACTATAAAACTCCTAGAGGAGAACATAGGCAAAACACTCTCTGACATAAATCACAGCAGGATCCTCTATGACCCACCTTCCAGAGTAATGGAAATAAAAGCAAAAATAAATAAATGGGACCTAATTAAACTTAAAAGCTTTTGCACAATGAAGAAAACTATAAGCAAGGTGAAAAGACAGCCTTCAGAATGGGAGAAAATAATAGCAAATGAAGTAAGTGACAAAGAATTAATCACAAAAATATACAAGTAGCTCATGCAGCTCAATTCCAGAAAAAAAAATGCCCCAGTCAAAAAATGCGCCAAAGACCTAAACAGACATTTCTCCAAAGAAGACATACAGATTGCTAACAAACACATGAAAAGATGCTCAACATCACTCATTATCAGAGAAATGCAAATCAAAACCACAATGAGGTACCATTACATGTCAGTCAGGATGGCTGCTATCCAAAAGTCTACAAGCAATAAAGGCTGGAGAGGGTGTGGAGAAAAGGGAACCCTCTTACACTGGTGGTGGGAATGCAAACTAGTACAGCCACTATGGAGAACAGTGTGGAGATTCCTTAAAAAACTAGAAACAGAACTGCCATAAGACCCAGAAATCCCACTACTGGGCATACACACTGAGGAAACAAGAATTGAAAGAGACACATGTACCCCAGTATTCATCACAGCACTGTTTACAATAGCCAGGGCATGGAAGCAACCTAGATGTCCATCGGCAGACAAATGGATAAGAAAGCTGTGGTACATATACACAATGGAATATTACTCAGCTATTAAAAAGAATACATTTGAATCAGTTCTAATGAGATGGATGAAACTGGAGCCCATTATACAGAGTGAAGTAAGTCAGAAAGAAAAACACCAATATAGTATATTAATGCATTTATATGGAATTTAGAAAGATGGTAACGATGACCCTATATGCAAGACAGCAAAAGAGATACAGATGTAAAGAACAGATTTTTGGACTCTGTGGGAGAAGGCGAGGATGGGATGATTTGAGAGAATAGCATTGAAACATGTATATTATCATATGTGAAATAGATCACCAGTCCAGGTTCGATGCATGAGACAGGGTGCTCAGAGCTGGTGCACTGGGATGACCCAGAGGGATGGGATGGGGAGGGAAGTGGGAGGGGGGTTCAGGATGGGGAACACATGTACACCCATGGCTGATTCATGTCAATGTATGGCAAAAATACTACAATATTGTAAAGTAATGAGCCTCCAATTAAAATAAATTAATTAATTTAAAATTTAAAAAAAAGAAAGTTCCCCTTATCTTCTATATTGTAATTCATTAACATCCCACCATCTCTCCACAGAACAGTATTGTATTCTACCCAATG